TAATAGTTGATAAATCAGAATATCTGCCTTATATATAGGGTAGTAGTGAGTGCATGTATTTTGATATGTTATGGGAATACTTACCTTCAATATGTATATACATATATAGATATATGTTATGTATAATTGTTAAAGCGTATTTTGATAGAAAAGGAATACCATTAGCATACCATTCTATATAAATGTTGTATTCATTTATAGATGGTCGGAGGAGGTAGAGCCAAGTAGCCTATACTCAAGACTTATGTACCAAATATACTAAAAGCCCTAGCAGTTAGCAAGACTTAGTAGATGATCCGTACTTCGAATGCACTATTACAGTGATAGATTCTGGGAGGTAGCACAACACTTTGTCATTGGATATGCAAAATGAACTTTTATTTAATTAAAACCAGTTGATTTTATATATATTTTGTTTCTGTGTTTTATGTCCAGTCAATGTCGTGACAATTTGGGGGCTCCTCCGGGTTTTTCTTTGAAAAACCGGTAAGCACGAAAGGACTTAACACAGATTATATTAACTATTGCATTTTGTATTGATTATTATTATAATATTTATATATGACATTTATATATTACTGATAATTCACTGGATTTCACAGCATTGTATTCACTCTTAACTGATGCTAATTGTTACTGAATAGAAAATGTATTTTACTGCAGTATTTATATTTCATACATGCTATTGATTGATTGAATGTTCCATAACTTTAAATTTAATTACATTCTAATAGTGTATTTACTGATTTAATGACTTGATAACTTACCGTATTTGATTGTTAATAGTCTATTATTATATTATTGAAATTGAATGTAATGTTGCTATAGGCCTATTGCGGTTATGATATTTATTGTGAGAACTTGATGTAAAGGTGTTGTGAGAGTTTGTTTGTTTGGTTTTTTTTTAACGTACTGAAAGTGCACGATTATTTGAATGATGGATGTTGTAGAAGAATTGAAGGATATTGGGAAGGAGTTAGGGCTTGCTGGGGAAGCACTTACCGAATTTGTTATGACTGAAAGAAAGTATATTGAAAAGAGAGAGAAAGAAAAACATGACCAAGAGAGGGAGAAAAGATTACTTGAACAAGAGGAAGAAAGAGAGAGAAGAGCTTATGATCGAGAGGTCAGAGCACATGAGAGAGAAATGATGGATAGGCAGTTACAACTTGAGGAAGACGGAAGGAAGTTGGATGCAAGTGTAGCATTGTGTAAAGGTTGAGTGAGAACACCAAAGTTACCAGTGTTTAATGATAGCAAAGATGACCTAGATGCGTATTTGCGAAGGTTTGAAAGGTATGCAGAGGTGCAAGGTTGGGCTGAGAATGAATGGGCAGTGAATTTAAGTGCCTTGTTAACTGGTAGTACATTGGAAGTGTATTCTAGATTAAGTAATGTAGAGGCAGACAACTACATATGTTTGAAAACCGCATTATTGAAACGATTCAATCTCACTAAAGAAGGTTTTAGAGAAAAATTCTTTTCAGGTAAACCCATTGATGGAGAAACAAGTCAGCAGTTTTCTACTAGATTGGTGAACTACTTTACTCCAGAGCAACTTCGTCAAGCGCAACAAGAGGATAAGAGTTTAGGCAGGGTAAGAGCTGTCTCTTATACACATCTAGATGTGTATAAGAGACAGTGTCCAGCTTTTCATTAAAGAAAGGTGTCCAGAAAAGATGGCCCAGGCAGTGGAATTGGCAGACCAGTTCTTACTTGCTCGAGGTGGAGTATTCCGGAGTCCAAGGGTAGGAGGTGAGAGATTTAGTGATATGGCAAGGCCACTCCAAACAAATCCATTCCCACAGAGAACTTGCTATAATTGTCAGAAACCAGGACATGTTGCAAAGGATTGTCGGTTGGTTAAATCATCGTTCAGGGTAACAAATAAAATATGTTTTCTTTGTCATAAGCAGGGTCATTTGGCAAAAGATTGTAGGAACAAGTCGAAACTTGCAGGTGGATTAAGAGAGAATGATAGTTCAATGAGATGTACCAGTGGGTGTTTTCAGCTTACAAATGCTTGCATGGTAGTACCAAAGGATGGACCTAACTTACTTCAACAGGATACAGTTTTATTGGAATGTGGACATTCTCTTCCTAAACTGAGTGCAGCTTCTTGTGAAGATGTCAAAAAGATGCCGGTAACATGGGGTAGGGTAAATAATGCTGAAGTTCAGGTTTTAAGAGATACTGGGTGTAGTGGTGTCGTGGTGAAAGATAGTTTAATTCAACATGATCAACTAACTGGTAAGCATACAACATGTGTTTTGATAGATGGTTCTATGGTAACAGCTCCAACAGCAAATATTGCAATTGATACACCATTTTATACAGGCTATGTTGAAGCTCTTTGTTTGGCAACACCGTTATTTGATTTAATAATTGGAAATATAAGTGGAGCCAGAGAACCGGACCAACCGAACCAACAGTGGAAGAGAAGTGTTTCGTTAGGTGCAGTTCAAACACGGTCCCAGGTAAAGCCAAAACCATTTAAACCACTTCAAGCACCTTCACCTATTAACAGTGTTACTCCAGAGCAACTTCGTCAAGCGAAACAAGAGGATAAGAGTTTAGGCAGGGTAAGAGAGGTGGCAAAAACTGATAATATCCGCAATACTAAGAATGGTTGATGTTCTTATTTTTACTCAAATGATATTTTGTATCGAAAGTTCTCTTCAACACGAAAATTGGTATTCAGCAATGAACAGGTAGTGGTACCAAGCATTTTCAGAAATGATGTTATGAAAATGGCGCATGAATCTCTGTGGTCATCAGGGTAGAAGAAAGACAGCAGACCGCATCTTAACCAGTTTCTTTTGGCCAGAAATCCATGGGGATATAAGACGCTTCTGTCAATCATGCGATGTCTGTCAAAGAACTACACATAAGGGACGGGTTACGAAAGTACCGTTGGGTAAGATGCCGGTTATTGAAGTTCCATTCGGGCGCATTGCGGTTGACATTTTGGGACCTATCCAACCAATTACTGAGAGGAAGAATAGGTACATATTAACAATCGTTGATTATGCCACTAGGTACCCGGAGGCAATTCCCTTACCGAATATAGAAGCGGAACGGGTGGCTGAAGCCCTGATGCAAGTGTTAAGTCGAGTTGGGATACCTAATTCCATTTTCACAGACCAAGGTTCACAATTTACCTCTGATTTAATGAAACAGGTAAGCCGGTTGCTATCATTGGAACAGCTCACAACTACACTATATCACCCAGCCGCAAATGGTCTTGTAGAGAGGTTTAATGGTACTCTAAAACTCATGTTAAAGAGGATTTGCAGTGAAAAACCACGGGATTGGGATAGATACATTGAACCGCTACTTTTTGCAGTAAGGGAGACACCTCAAGAAAATTTAGGTTTCTCACCCTTTGAATTGTTGTATGGTAGGCATGTCAGAGGGCCAATGGCAATTTTAAAGGAATTATGGACGGGAGGAGTACAGACGGGTGAAACAAATACAACGTACCAGTATGTATTAGATTTGCGAAATCGTTTAGAGGAGACATGTCAAGCAGCCAGGGAAGCCTTGAAGGTATCTTCAAAACGTTACAAGACTTACTATGATCGTAAATCCAGAAGTCGTAAGTTATGTGTTGGAGACAATGTTCTCTTGCTATTACCAACTGATCACAATAAGCTTCTTTTGCAATGGAAAGGGCCGTTTAAAGTAACAAAAGTTGTAAATGAGTTTGATTATGAAATAAATTTGAATGGTAAATGCAAAATCTTTCACATTAACCTTCTCAAGCAGTATTTTAGCAGGTGCTCGAATTCAGAACCATCAGGCCAGAAGAGTTATGATAAACTTGATGTTGGATGCACTGCTGTGGTAGAAGATGACGATGGGGAATCTTCAGATTGGACAGAAATGTTATCAAACTCTACTTTACTGCAACCATATCCGCTAAAAGCAAAGGAGAGCATTGAAGATGTGGTAATAAATGAAAGCTTAACTACTTTGCAGAAACTAGATGTAATGCAAGTATTGAAGGGGTTTGAAGACATTTTAACCGATTTACCAGGACAAACGACTTTAGGGCAGCATGATAT